GGCCTCGCTGCCTTTGGGAGAGGAATTTCCTCTGCACATCTACCTCAGTTTGCACTCTTTGAGTTTAAAGCCATTCCCACTCGTATGATCGTCATCTGCCAAGTGGCACACAAGGTCTGGCAGCAGGTCAGGTAATGACACAGCAGCACGTGGACAGCTGTGATGTTATTTTGTTTATTGGTAATCTCAGGTACATGACACCAGCGGTTCTGCGGATGTCCGACGGTGTCACAAACCCGCATGCTGGGGGTGCTCTCACCTCCCGATGGAGAGTGGAGGGGAGCGGAAGGGCAGATGTAGTGCTGGGGGGTGCTGGGGGCTGCTGGCCCAGGTCTGCTTCCCCCTGGCAGTGGTCTTCCACTTATCTAATGAAGCCCCTGAGCTGATGCCCTGGGGGGGCCACTCCCACCGCCGGAAAGATGCTTGAGGGGAGGGAGAGGATGGTGCTCGGGGCGGCTGTGGGCTGCTGAACTGCTCACGCTTCCTCCAGGCCACAGTTGTCGGTCTTCTGGATAATTCCCCCAGGCCAAGACCCTGGGGGGGCTGCTCCCATCTCCTAAAGGATGGTGGAGAGGAGGGGGAGGGCAGCGGGGAGGCCTGGGGGGGCCACTCCTGTCCCCTGAAGGATCATGAAGGGGAACGGGAGGCTGGTGACGGCGCCCGGGGAGGCCGGGGGCTGCTGGGCAGGTCCTGCTTCCCCCTGGCAGCGGCTGTCCTGTCGGACAGTTTCCTCGAGTCAGCACTCTGTGCGGATCGCTTCCATTCCCTGACAGGTGATGGAGGGAACGGGGATGGCAGAGGCGGCGCTGGGGGCTGCCAGGCCTGGTCTGTTTCCCCCTGGCAGTGGTTTTCCAGGGGTGTGATGATGCCCCTGAGCTGACACCCTGGGGGCGCTGCTCCCACCTCCTAAAGGATGGTGGAGAGGAGGAGGGGGGCAGAGGTGGTGCCGGGGGGGGCTGGGGGCTGCTGGGTCTCTCAGGCTCCCCCAAGGCAGTGGTTATCCAGGTGCTGGACGATGCCCCCGAGCCGACATGCTGAGGAGACCGCTCCCGTTCCCTGAAGGATGGTGGTGGGGGACGGGGGGGCGGCGTTGATGCCCGCTGTGGCTGGGGGCTGCTGGGCCTGTTGCTCATCTGCTGGGGAGCAATCGGTTCGGTGCTGGCCGATGACCGCAAGCCTCCACCCCCGGCTGGTTCCTTCTGTCCCTTGAAGGATGGCGGAGGAGGATGAGGGGGCGGTGTTGATGCCCACTGGGGCCAGGGGCTGCTGGGCCTGTTGCTGATCCCCCGCGATGCCGAGCCTGGGCTGGGGGGCCGCGGGGGTCGAGGCAGGGGTAGCTGAGCCCGGCTGCTGTCCAGCCTGGCAGGGGCTGCTCTGCTGGTGCCCTGTGGCTGGTGGGCAGGTTGTTCCCACACAGATGGTTGGTGGTTTGTCTGTCTGTCGGGCCACTCGAGGTCAGCAGACTCCTCCTCTGACGGTGAGCTGTAGCTGCTGCTATCGTCCCGCGCTCCATCAGCTGCAGCGAGGCGCCTGCGGAGAGAAGAACGTGCTGAAGGCGCAGCAGAGCCCCTGCTCTCCTTCCTCATGGCAAAGAGCCACCCTCGGCTCTCAGCCTGTCTCAGGCCCAGCACTAAGAACGGGCTGCAGGAATGGCCGCGCCGCTCCAACGTCTGACAGCACAGATCTCAGACCATGTTAGCCAATGGCTGACCCGCCTCTCTGTGCTGCTTTAACTAGAAATGCCTCCTGGCTCATGGCAGCCCTGCAGTAAAGAGTTGGGCAGGATGGGGGTGGGGGTGAACAACTCACTGCTTTCTCTTCCTGCACCACCAGAAAAGAATGCAGCACAGAATCATTGTTAGCAACAGGGAAACCGGGACAGATGAGGCAAGTTCCAGGTACAACTTCTGTGCATCTTTAACTTGCTCGGCGTTTGCACGTCCTTCCTCATCCACACCTGCAGGAATAAAGTGGTCGTTGCTGTGTCTCGTGCCACACTGGCAATCTCGCAGGAGCTCTGACACGGCCACAAAATGCTCTTCTCATTTTGCTGGCCTCCTGGAACAAGTGAAAATCCTCAGGCTGCAATGCTTTCCCTGATTCCAGAGGAAGCTAAGGGAGTTCCCAAAGGCGCTGCACATCAACGCACTCTGG